TTTTTTTACAAAAGAGGTTACAATTGTATGTTTCCCACTACTCTACATTATACAAAACTAAGAATTTAAATACCTGATGAACTATTTCCTGAGCTTGAGGGAAGTTTGATGGGTGGAGGTCGATGTTTTACTCCTTTCCCCAATACTGAAGACTGAACTGAAACGGTTTCAGGCTGCTACAAGAAAAAACAACAAACATACTTGTTAAAATTAGAATTACTATCACCATACTCCAAGATGAAAACAATTTATCAACTTTACAAAATGATCTTAGTGGTTACAGACTTAACATCAGGTTTTTACACACGAATATAATTTTACATGTGATCCATGAAATATTTTACAGCACACATATAGGATGAGGTAAAGACTTCAGAGTAATAGAATAATGAGAAAAAGTCTGAGAAAGAGTAGAATAGAAAGATAAAGGCAAAACTTCTAACCGCTTTATTTTTCTAAGAAAATAACAACTGTTGAGGCCAGATGATTAGCACAAAGGTGTTCATTATACTTTCCTCTATGTCTACTTTGAAATACTTTGATCATAAAAAGTTAAGTAATTTAAAAAAGTAAATTCAAAACTAAACTCCCCCTAAACCCTCAAAATATGATCCTTAGATTTCTCAGATCTAATAATCAATTAGGTACAAAAAATATCAATAACCAAACATACTTCTGTTTCTTTTCCTGGAGAAAGCTGACTCAGACTGGCTGAGCCACTAGAGATGTGCGACATCTTGACTGGACATTTAGCTTCATTCTGGATCAATTCCTGATATTGATTAACAACTCTGAAATATCAGGAGAAAATAGGTATAGGTAAGGATTTAGCTAACCCTGTTTTTTTGGGTGGGTGGGAGTGGGGTGAAGATTCCCAGCGATTGAATTCAGAAGCACTTGGCCGCTGACTCACATCCCCAGCTCTATTTTTTTTTTTAAATTTTATTTAGAGACAGGGTCTCACTGAATTGCTTAGTGCCTCGCCATTGTTGAGGCTAGCCTTGAACTCATGATTCTCCTGTCTCAGCCTCCTGAGCTTCTGGGATTACAGATGTGTGTCACTGTACCTGGCCGTTAACCCTGTTTTTAACACAAATTTATTATGTAACAAATGAGTGATGCTATTATTGGAAAAAAAAATATTCCACCTAATTGAACACAAAAATTAAAATTAGGCAATTTATCTTTGAGTTAAAAGTGCATTCTTCTAATCTTTTAAATGAAAAGTTAATGTGTAAAATATTTTGCTAATTAATAGTCTAAAGCTGTATTTTCAATAGAGAAATTATAAGGAACAATTTAACCAATAAGCAGTAAAGAAAGTACTCATTTTGCCTTTCTGTTAGATTTGGATTAAATAAAGTATTATCAAGAAACCATTTTCCTTAGTTATAGCAAATTATCTATGTTTTTCTTTTAATTTAAAATAAAACTAGCTGAGCATGGTGGCACATGTCTGTAATCTCAACTGTTTATGAGGCTGAGGGAGGAGGATGGCAAATTTAAGGCTATTTTCGGCAACATAGCCAGATCCTGTCTCAAAAGAAAAAATAAGAAAGGACTGAGATAAAGTGCCCCTGGGTTCAAACCTTAATACCAAAAACAAAACAAAACAAAAAGCCCCTATATTTTAAACATAATTCTTTTAATTATTTTCTTAATTCTATGAGAAAAACACCCTAGATACTTAAAGTATCAGGAAAAAGCACTTG